GCCAGGCAAGCCCGCCGCACGAGCCTGCCCGCCGGGATTGCCTACCTGGCGTCTGGCAGGCGCTTTCCGGTCCCTGGCGCCAGGCAAGCCCGCCGCACGAGCCTGCCCGCCGGGCTTGCCTACCTGCCCGTTGGCAGGCGCCCTGCAAGGTAGACTTGTCGGCCGACTGAAACGACAACTTCGCAGCATAGACGACCCCGCCTCGTGTTTTCCCTTCGCAAACAACTTGAGGCCGCTGTGGGGCTGCTGTCATTCTAATGCGGACTCCGCATTCCACCCTCTACTTGCGGACTTCTGCGACATCCTCCGCGTACCCTCTCCTGGAAAGCACTTTGCTGGACATGTTGTGTCGTGTTCGCCGTGCGTTTCTGTGTATGTGTATATATGTGTAGTGAGTGATTATGCAGGGGAGGATCGGGGCGGGCCTATGGCGAAGGGGCAATAACCGAGGGTAGGAAAAAGGGGCGATCGAAGGGGATCTGATGGGATGCGGCGGGTCAGGGGTGGACCTGCCTTTTTGGACCGGTCCGACCGTTGGCCTTTTGCTGCACATAGCCATGCGCTGCTCATCTCGGTGGAATAAAATACAACGTCTCTCTTTTTCTCTTTTGTGGTGATCAAAGCTGGGACCGTAAGGAGGACGGAAACATCCGCCCACCCTCTCGTTTAGCTGTCTGAATCCAGCATCCTCATTGCTATTCATGAAAAGAAAGCCCGCTTGCCGGCCAACGGGGGCGAGTTGGGGGGTAGAGGGGTCAGAGAACGGCAAAAAGAGGAAAGATGAGGCTGGGGCAGTGTCCCTTATGGCCAGCGGGTTAGTACCTCACCTGGACACCAAACTGCGCCCCAGACGGCCCTTACAAACTGGATTCCCTCCCTAACAAGTTTTCAGCCCCCTTTTCCCCCCTGCCCCTTCCGGTTGGCAGCCCGTCAGCCCCGTACGGTGTGTGATGGAATATAAAAGTGCGAGAGTGGCGAGGCGAGCGGCGGGGCAATGTACAGTATTGATTGCTGATCAAATACACCATAGAGGGCCTCACGCAGAGCATTGCAGTGGGCGGGGCGAGTTTCAGCAGCGTCCCCGTGATGAGCGCAACTCCGCACCGCCATCGCTCACACAACAGCGGCAGCAGCAGCGGCCCCCGGAGGACGATTCAACAACGCGGCTCTCTTTTTGCAGCACGGCTCACGGCTAGAAGGGAGCGGGTGAACGGAGGTCGTCAGGGCGTCACTGTGAAAATTAGTCAGGGGTTCACGGGAAAAGTTTTCATTATGTGTGTTGTAAAATTACAATTTGAAATTATTGTAAACTTCCAATCACTTCGTTTCTTCGCTTCTATTTTGAACCGATCGGCAAGCCAGAATGAGCTCTCGCAAATTTACAACATGTTTTGTAAATAAAAAATATCAAATTTTGTAAATTTGCGAGGGTATTTATCACACAGTGGTTGAGGGGAAACTGGCATCAGGCGGTCGGTGCGCGTGTCCGGCTTCCAAAGAAGTGGCGAGCTCAAGGCTTTTCTGTTCGCACTAGGAGGAACCCTCCGGATGAGATTTTCTGCCAAAAAATGCAGCGAGAATTTTCAAACATTTGCGGCAAATAGTCATGCATTATGCAGGGTGCGAGCGAGCGAGGGGCGGGGGAGGA